TTTTAAACGTTTCCTCCTAAGGGGATTTTGAAAAATCCTGCTTCCATTTCCAAGGCCGGAGGCAGAGCAGGCCTTCAGTGGCAATTTGACGGGATTCCCAATACTTATTCTCTGGGGAGATGAACTCCCACCTCCCCTCCCCAGAGTAGAGCATCAGGTGCAGTTTCTGAACCCCACTCTCCTTCTCCCCTCCAGTGTCTGTCTGGTGTGGTTTTGGAAAGCAGGTGAGATTGGGGGTGGGGGGTGGAGTCCGGAGCCCAGGACCAAGAAATAATTCTTGAGACGTCTTTCGTGGGTGCAAAATGCTGGTTTATTTAAAACACAGGGACAAATTGCTCAAACAGAGCTGCTGCACTGGGGTTATGAGGGGTGGCTGATTATATACTATGGGGTTGGGGGAGTAAGGAACAGGAAGGTTTCAAAAAAATTTCTGAAGGAGGCCATGCCATTGTCAAGTTAAGGTTGTTTTCCCCTGTAGCAAGGCATTAACATTAAGATAGTTGGAAGATTCCTGGAAGAATGTCACACAATTCCCACCCCCCAGTCGGGTTGTAGGGGAGGTGTCAGCCTTAGCTTTGTCCTCAGCCAGCCTTCAGCTCCCGCATCGAGTCTGCTTATCTGTAACACAGGGATGTAACTATCTCATAAGGTTGTTGCTGTATTAATAAATGGAAAAATCACACTGCACTGAGCATGTCAGTCTACTCAATAAACAATTGTTTCTGGCCTGTCTCTGTTGCTATCCCGAAGATCCTCGTTGTTTATTAGCTTTGGTGCAGGCTCAACAATCAGTCCATTGAGCAATACAGGCATGAAGAAAGCAGGCAAAACACTCCCACACCCCACCCATCTCGTGGGTTTCTAGTGTCCTTTCATCCGCTTGTAATTAGATTCTAGAGAGGGCAGCCCTATGGGGAGCTAGTCACATGAAGAGCAGCCTCCACAATCCTTTCTTGGACTTTTGTTTCTTCCTGCAGCACTGGGACTGGTGTGCATGGAAACAATCAAACAGGAAACACAGCATCTCCATGTCCCCAAACCCACCCCCCACCCCCACCCCCCACTGCCCTCCACCCAGAACTGGGTGTTCATTTCTCAGGTTATTGAAGAGAAATGAAAAACACACAGATGGCTTGTACTTCAGGAGGCATTGGAGTGTTTGTTGGAAACAGTTGGGGTTCATGCTGTACTTAACGCTACTGCAAAATTAGAACAATTGTGTAAATCACTATTTCTCAAAGGGAGGGAGGCCCCAAACAGAGGGTAGTTGGAGAAGAAAATATCCGGTAATATAATTTACTGTTTGGGGAGAAAAAAAACCTATTGTTTTTGGTCTACAAACTATAAAAAGTCTTGAACAAATCTTCTCAGCTAGGAGAGTAGAAAGGCTAAATGAACTGAAACACTGGTTGTGAAATGGTTCTCCTTAAGAAGCAGACAGGGGGAAATCCTTGGCCAGACAAGCCTTTCTGTTATTCTGAAATCTAAATACCAAATCTAATGGGATGCATTTCTTAAAGTATGTGTAGGAAGATAAAATTTTGTTTTTAAGATTTTTCATTTATTTGACAGAGATCACAAGTAGGCAGAGAGGCAGGCAGAGAGAGGCGGAAAGCAGTCTCCCCACTGAGTGGAGAGCCCAATGCGGGGCTTGATCTCAGGACCCTGAGATCATGACCTGAGCCAAAGGTAGAGGCTTAACCCACTGAGCCACCTAGGCGCCCTAAAATTTTAAAAATATAGTTGACCCTTGAACAATGCAGGGGTTAGGGTATAACTTTTGACCCCCCCAAAACTTATACATGGATTTTTACCATATGGCACAGTACTACAAATGCATTTTCTCCTCCTTATGAGTTTAACATTTTTTTCTAGCTTACTTTATTGTAAGAGTACAGTATGAAAATGGAAAAGAAGGTAAATGCCTCCAGGTTTCGTTCCAATATATTCACCCTCTGAGCTCAAATCTCAGAAACAGTTTCACCAATTAGAGTGCTGATAATACCTAGATGCCTGTCAATTGATACCATTGTTAAAAGCCACCAACACAAACCACGTTTAGCCAAGGTCTGACACTTTGTATAATGCCTTTTATCAGATAATACATTTACCTTTAAATTCAAATAAAGAATGCCTCCAGCTGGTTTTTTTCCTTGGTACAGATGGAGTTAACTTCCTGCTTTTGAAGTGTGATGTCCTTGCTTTGTTTACATAATAGAAAACCCTTCTTCTGACTCTTGGAAATTATCAAGATCATCAGACTTCCCCTAAATATAAAGCAAATGTCATGCTTCTTGACTAAGCATTTGAGTATTGTTTCAATATTTTGATTTCAACCTGAAAAAAAAAAACACCTCTGTTTTTTGATGATATCAGAGTTCTTTCTTCTCTGGATATGGACATCAAACCTATTTTATTCATATCTCATTTGATTTTTTCCTGGATTTTCCTTCCCCCTCAGAGTCTACTAACATAACAAAATTAACCCTAACCTATAAATATCCAAATCTGTGAGGGTCCATAAAGATGTTCTAACTAATATATTCCCCCAATTTAACAGAAAGTAACTTAAGTCACCCAGCACCCAGAGACCAGACCGAGATTTGAGTCCTCTGATTTCCCAGTCCAGTATGAGATTAGGTGTTCATCCAGTGGGCTATAGTTATGGTCCATTTGCGATGTGCTGTGTCCTTCGTTGATGCTGGAGAATGCTCTAGAAGCAGATGAGGCTCCTAGCCGCATAAAGCTTAGTATTTGGTGCCAGGGACTGACAGTAAAACAAGTAAACAAGCATTCAAGTAGGAAATAAAAGGATGATGAGAACTGGTGAAAGCTATGATGAGAGAAACTAATGAGGTAAAGTGACAGAATAATTGGATTGAGGGAAGATAGGGGAAACTACTGAGGGGTCAAAGAAGGACAGACTCAGAGAGAAACCAAGGTCATATAGTTGGTGGGTGGTGGTTTGAACCCAGACCCACTTTCTTCCAGGATCTCTGGATGGAAAGTCTATGAGCAGTGACACAGAGGTAGGGATAACAGAAAGTAGAAAAAAATTTTTTTGCACATAGTAAGTGATTGGTAAATGTTTGCGCGTGACAGTGATACTGAGAACATTAGAAAATAGGAAGTAGTGGGGAATAATGTTATATGAAAGGAGCTAGATTGGGCGCCTGGGTGGCTCAGTGGGTTAAGCCGCTGCCTTCGGCTCAGGTCATGATCTCGGGGTCCTGGGATCGAGTCCCGCATCGGGCTCTCTGCTCAGCGGGGAGCCTGCTTCCCTCTCTCTCTCTGCCTGCCTCTCTGTCTACTTGTGATCTCTCTCTGTCAAATAAATAAATAAAATCTTTAAAAAAAAAAAAAAAAAGAAAGGAGCTAGATTAAAACGGGCACTGGATCAGGTAGCAAGGTTTGAGCAGTGCAGGAGACAGGCTTGGTCTTGGGGGAATATATACATTATATAAATATCTGGAATATTGAAAAAAAATACTGTTACCTCCAAAAGGAGAGAGGAAAGAAAACATAAGCAAGTCGTACAAAATGTAATTAATTTGGGATCAGGCATTGCATGTTACCTGAGCCCTTGCGTTGTGCCAGGAATTAGGTGAGGAAAGGAAACTAATACATGATCCTTTTTTTGCCAGATAATGACACATCTAGGTAATGGGACAGCATGCAGTCATTAAAAAGAATGTGGTAGCTCTGAAAGAAACTACAGGGAACAATTTCCATGTTTGTGTGCTAAGTGAAAATAGGAAGGAGCAGAAGAAGCATATATGGTGTGCTGTTTCTAAGGAAGCTGGGGAGATACGCATGCTTGTGTTTACGCTGACAAGCCGGGTATACAAACGCTGCTCCAGGTGGGGGTGTCTCAGGAGAATTAGGGGACTGGGGAAGAGTGAAAAAAGACTTTTTACTATATACTCTTTTATCTTTTTGTATTTTATATCAGTTGCACATATTGCCTCTCCAAAAATAATATTTAGAAAATTACAAATAAAACTCAGCTCTTTTTCAAAGGTGTTTACCATGTCATGTTACAGATCCTCTATCCTAACGTTACCTGTTTCAGTTAACAAGCCCACTTCACCTCCACAGGTGTACCTCCCCTGCACCTAGATTCACTAGTATAGTTGATGCATCTTTCCTCCTTTGCCTGCCCTCAGCAGCAACAGAAGTAATAAAAAAAGAGAAAATGAGATTCTCTGGTCCATGTAACCTTTTTATCTACTTGGACTGCCCATGACAGTATCTGATACCTGAATCTATCTTTTTTGCTGTTGTTGTTGTTTCTATTTTATTTATTTCTTTTAAAGATTTTATTTATTTGACAGACAGAGATCACAAGTAGGCAGAGAGAGAGAGAGAGAGAGAGAGGAGGAAGCAGGCTCCCCACTAAGCAGAGAGCCCGATGCGGGCCTCAATCCTACGACCCTGGGATCATGACCTGAGCCGAAGGCAGAGGCTTTAACCCACTGAGCCACCCAGGTGCCTCCTTTCTTTCTATTTTAAATTAATCTCCTTGCCCAGATCTTTTATTCTTTATTTACTTATTTATTTAATCTTTGTCCACTTTACTTATTTATTTATTTATTTAAAATTAATCTCTTTGCCCTAGGTGGGGCTTGAACTCAGGATTCAGAGATCTATAATTGCAGGCTCCAGGTGCTCCAATTTTTAAAATTTTATTTACTTATTTATTTTTGATAGCCACATCTTTTAATGCACCTGCCTCCTTGAGACAGCAACATCTTCTTAAGCTGAGGAAGATGAAGGACGTTTTTAAGAAGATTTTAAAAAGCTCGAAGTTTGGCCAAAGGCGCTCCTTCAAGCTCCTGCTTAAGTGCGCATTTCCTCTTGGCTTTAAGGAGATGTCCTTTGGCCAGAAGGGCTGTTTTTTTGTCTCCAGTCTACGCAGACCCAAACTTTTTCTCTCATCACGTGCCTGGCCCGAGCCAGTCGGCTGCTCCGTAACTCGATCACTGTGACTGGCCTCCCCCAGCCACCGAGGAGCCGCGAGGGTGGGGAGCCGCGCAGTGACAGCAGCCGCCTAGGTAGGGGCCGAGGAGAAGGGGAGGCGAGCGTGGGCTGTGGACCGGGACCTCGGAGGAGCTGGGACACCGGCCCCTGCAGAGGTGAGCGGGAACTGCCGGGGAGGGAGCTGTTCGCCACCGTCTGGGCGCTTCCGAGTTCCCTTAAAGAAAGATAAAGTGCGTTCTTCTCCCCTCTGCTCCCTCTCTGTCCTCCTCCATGTACAAAACAGGTGAGATTTGCCTCTGATCATTGATCTGGGCAGTCTTCTTGCTGCCCAGAGCCTCCGACAAGGCCCTTGCTGATGTCTGCAGACTGCCTTTGTGCCATCCCCTCCTCTGTCCTCTTGTCCGGCTAGCACCTGACAGTCTGTCCTGTCAGATGGTCAGGGTTTGGCTTCACAACCCTGTGTATAAAGGGCAAACTCTCAAGTCAGAACTCCGAAGAGGAAAAAGCCAACTGCAAGTCTGTTGGGGAAGCCACAAACTGCTTCTCTGACCTGTCGGATCACCTGGAAGGCACATAGCCAATTTTAAGTCTTAAAACAAGATCAAGGTGTGAGCTTGGGCATGGGCAACCGTGTCCAAGCTGTCTTGTTGCCACATACAAAGATGTATCAGTGGTTTCAGAATTACTGGCCGTTCCGTAGTTCCCGGGAAGGACTCCCACAAAGCTTCCTGGGTGAGAGGATGCAGTCTGTGTGCGGCGTCGATGGGGATGAACAATAAGGCTGGTAGTTTCCAGGGGCTCATACGGGCCTTTGGGGCTTCAGGCAAGCAAGACAGGATCCAGACTGTGGTTTGCTTCAGTTCCATGTGCAGTTCCAACCACATCTCTTACGTTGAGAGATCATAATTCTGAAATCAATTTGATAAAATGGAAAAGCTCTGAACTTCAGCCTCTGGCCATGGAAAGAAAAGGCCTTAGTCCTAGGAAAAGGTGCTGATAGCTTGAAAGCAAATATTGGACACCTTCTGAGGGCAAATACAGTGCTTTTTTTTTTTTTTTAAGATTTTGTTTATTTATTTGACAAACAGAGATCACAAGTAGGCAGAGAGAGAGAGGAGGAAGCAGGCTCCCCCCTAAGCAGAGAGCCCAATGCGGAGCTCGATCCCAAGACCCCGAGATCATGATCTGAGCTGAAGGCACAGGCTTTAACCCACTGAGCCACCCAGGCACCACAACACAGTGGTTTTTATTCAGTTCTCCTTCTTTCCTTTATTCAACAGATACTGAGTGTCTGCCACATGGCAGGTTTGTGGACCTCACAGTAAACAAACAGGCAGGCTCATTTTCACAGGCACACTATCAGGCGGGACAGGCCGTTCTTAAATGATACACATACCCCGTAGAAAAGGCAGGGAAGGGAACCTTGGTAGAACAATCCTGAGTCTTTTGGCTCAGAGTCTCATCTTTCTTTCGGGCATTTCGTCTTCTGGAGTGAGAATCTTTTCATCTACAACAGCCTCACTTGTGCGCAGACCTTGGTCACAGCAGCTCCTCAAATCTTCCTCACCACAGGCTTTAAGCTGGGCAACTACATTTCCGGTCAGTGTCCTCACCCCTAGAGACGGCCCGCTCAGCTTTTTCCAAGAGGATGAACAGCCTGAGAGCAGAGGCTGAGGTGGTGGGATTTCTTGCCCTCCTGTTGGTCGCTCTCTCCCAATGTCATTTCCCACTTACGAAAGAGAATTTGTGCTCTTCCAAACACACACTCGGTGCCCAGCGAAGTCTCAGGAAGCCGGGATTTTCCCAGAAACTGTGGAGTCTGGAGTAAGTCAGTTCTGCTCATTGAGGCTAATCTTTGCTTATAAAATAGAAGCGGTGGATTAGACAATCAACGAGGTTTCATTTGTCCTTTTTTCTCCTTTGAAAGTAAATAATTCTAATAATTTCACAGTATGTTTACGAAGAAACAGTACATAGTCATGTAAAGATGGTATATCTTACACCTATAAAATGGGAACCCTCATCAACCATGCAGAATATTCAGGGACCTAGAATCTGAAAGAGGGACACCTGGGTGACTCAGTCTGTTAGGCGTCTGCCTGTGGCTTAGGTCATGATCCCAGGGTCCTGGGATAGAGTTCCGCATGGCTCCCTGCTCAGCGGGGACCCTTTTTCTCCCTTTGCCAGCCTCCCCCTGCTTGTGCGCTCTCCCTCTCTCTCTCTCTCTCTCTGACAAATAAATAAAAGCTTTTTAAAAAAAATCTGAAAGTGTCAGGCTGCAGAAAAAACTTAAAGTCTCTACCCCCACCCTCACCCCATTCCTCTGTTCTGTCTCTTGTCTGTATTCAGATTCTCAAGGTCATGAACATCAGCTTTAGCCTCACTGTATCATTTTCCTAGACCGAGAATTCTGTAATAAATAGCTTGTATAGTCAGAATCAAAAGAACCATACTTAAAAAGTATCTAATTTGGATAATCTGCTTTCAAAAGAACCATACTTAAAACGTATCTAATTTGGATAATCTCACAATATGTATCAAATTCCCTTTAAAGGGGAATCAGTTCATTGTTACGAAGTATTAGAATATTTTTCTTTGGTGACTTTCTTTCTTTCTCTTCCCTAAATGCATTCCCATCCTATGCAATTTCATATTCTCCTCCTACATACTTTCTCACTTGAAAAATCAAAGCTATACAGTATTACTTTATTAAATAGGGCAAGAAGCATCTCCTATTCATCTTTGTATCTATCCCCTATGGCTACCTTTGTATCCTTCATACAGTAAAGGTTTCTTGAAAGAATTATTACTATTTTAGAGAAAACATGTTCTGTTTTCCCTCTGGTATTAAAACACAGGCGCGCGTGCTCACAGTAGCTAATCCATTATTCATGGCTGATAGAGGCTGATCTCATTCCTTTGTGTTCCTTTACAACCCTGATGCCCACTCTGCATGTACAACATCAGCACATTCTACACTTTTTGCAGACTCAGTTGGTATAATAAGCACTGAAATCAAGTTCTGCCACTAAATACCCATGTAATTTGAAGCTGAACACTATGCCCCCATGTCTTCCAGTGGAAAACGGTAGTATCTGACTTGAAGGGCTCTGAGATCACGTCTAGTTGTTAGATGGGAGACTTTAGAAAGGTAAAGGAAAAGGTCAGAGAGAGAAAGCACAATAAAAATGGAGTGATTAGGGACGCCTGGGTGGCTCAGTTGGTTAAGCAGCTGCCTTCGGCTCAGGTCATGATCCCAGCGTCCTGGGATCGAGTCCCACATCGGGCTCCTTGCTCATCAGGGAGCCTGCTTCTCCCTCTGCCTCTGCCTGCCATTCTGTCTGCCTGTGCTTGCTCTCTCTCCCTCTCTCTCTGACAAATAAATAAATAAAATCTTTAAAAAAAATGGAGTGATTATAGCACCTGAACATATTAAATATTAATAATTGTCATTGGCTTTATTTGCCAAAATCTCTAACTTGAGCATTCCTACTGGTAGTCAATGTTAAGGAACTTCTGTGGTTGAAGACACATCTGCCTACCATGTTTGGGGACTTTCCTAGAACCTTCCCACAGACTCTGTCCACTTAAAACTGAAAACACATCTGCCAGCAGGTAGAGAGGCACAGAAAACAAGCTGCTTTGGCATAAAATATTCAGCAGAATATAGGGTTGTGCAGCTTAGAGGAGTCAGTCACCTATGTAAATATCTTGGGAGATAGTATGTGGGCGTATTAGCTTAGCCAAAGAACACATATTCAGAAATGCTTCTTTGCCTCCACTGAGATCAGATGTGGACAGAAATATGTTGGGACTCCTGCAGCCAAAGAGGCCTTCCCAGCACCAGAAGATAAACAGTCACCTTTCCTTTGGCCAGAAGGTTTACCCAGAGCCAAGGGTTCCCGGGTAGAACTTAGATATTGGCCTCTCATCACTCAGTCCGGTGGCACTCAGTTTCCATCTCATGGACACAGTGGGCATCAGCACTCTGCCTTTGTTTTTTGTTTGGTTGGTTTGGTTTTTGTTTTTGTTTTTTTTTTTAAGACTGTATTTATTTATTTGAGAAAGAGAGAGTACGCACATGAGTGGAGAGAGGAGTAGAGGGAGAGGGAGAAGCAGACTCTGCTGAGCAGGGAGCCTGATGAAGGGCTCCATCCCAGGACCCTAGGATCATGACCTGAGCGGGAGGCAGACACTTATCCCACTGGGCCACCCAGGTGCCCCAGGACTCTCTCTGCCTTTGGAATCAAGCAGAGTTGCCTCCTTCCAGGGTCAAGGTCTCATGGTACAGACAGTCATCCTCATCTCTCTTAGTTCTTGTTTTTAATTTTAATATCTGGTTCTGTTTATTTATACTTTAGACCCAGTCTCCATCTCAAAAGAGTTTGAAATAGCTTCCAATAAAGGATATATATAATAGAACAGCTGCAAATAGGTAAAAACTGGTAAGAAACCATCCGGCACAAATAAATACCTTTCATACTGTTCTGAATTGTGATCTGTAGAAAAAAGAACCAGAAGCTTTACTGCTATTGCTCTTCTTTTGGACCATGTAAAGTTGTTAACCTTTCTCCTGATCCCCTCTGCCTCCCCCTCCCTGTCACCGCAAAAAAAGGAGAAGAAGAAACAAAGCACTGGTTCTTTTTTTTTTTTTTTAATGTTATGTTAGTCACCATACAGTATATTAGTTTTTGATGTAGTGTTCTATGATTCATTGTTTGAGTACAACACCCAGTGCTCATTGCAATACATGCCCTCCTTAATACCTACTGGGACCCCTATTCCCCACCCCCTTCCCCTCTGAAACCCTCAGTTTGTTTCCTAGAGTCCACAGTCTCTCATGGTTTGTCTCCCCCTCTGATTTCCTCCCCGCCTTCATTTTTCCCTTCCTTCTCCTAATATCCCCTATGCTATTCCTTATGTTCCACATAGAAGTGAAACCCTATAATTGTCTTTCTCTGCTTGACTCCATCAGAGTTACCTTTAATAATCTAATGAAAGTTGTGGACCTTTCTATCCTGAAGAATGAATATGGAAAAAATTGGCCTATACTTTCAGGGGAAACAGACTTCTCAAAGGAATTGAAATTAATCTGATTTTTGAGAAAGGGAAAGCTAATTAAAGAGAGAGCTAATTACTCTACAAATCTTCAATA